AACTGGTTACACCTGTTTTAACTGCCAAAAATACCACATCCTGTAACTGGTTACAAGAACATAGTAATTGGTTACAACACTTGAATTATTGATTTTTCATAACACACCACTTTAATTTAAGCGCTCAAAATCTTTCATGTCCATGTTCTTCTTCAATCTCTTGAACACTTTAATTGTCACTCCCTTGATCAGCAAATCCGCCACTTGGTCTTCACTTCTACAATATCTCAATCTCAACCTTCTTTCACTAACAAGTTCTCTCAAATAGTAAAACCTCGTCTCATTATGCTTGCTCCTCCCATGTGAAATTCGGTTCTTAGCAAGATTTATAGCGAAAACATTATCAACCATGAGCGTTACAGTGTCACCCTATTCACTATCCAACTCCTTCAACATATTCATTAACCATGCGGTTTGGCCCGCACACCACGAAGCAGAAATGTACTCAGCCTCATAAGACGAGAGTGCTACTACCGGTTCCTTCTTCAAACACAATGAGATTGGTGTTTCACCAAACATAAATATGTATCCAGTTGTAGACTTTCTATCATCTTTTTTTCCACACCAATTAAAATTGGTAAAAATAAGAAAATTGCATTTTCTTCCCATGTCCATTGCAGACAAAATAATTATGCAGCCAATAGATCCTTTAACGTATGTTAGAATCCTCTTGACTGCTTTCAAGTAAGACACCCTCAGTCTGTCCGTGAATCTACTCACAATACTGACACTAAACGCCAAAGATGATCGCGTATTGCACAAGTAACACAAAGATCCAATCAGTCTCCTATACTGACTTAGATTAGCATCTTGCCCATCCTCATTCTTCGACAATTGTAGCATCGGTTCATCCAGAGTAATGGCAGCATTACAAGGCTTTATTTTAAACCTCTTCAAAATCTCAAGCGCATACCTTCTTTGGTGCATGAACAGTCCTTTCTTGGACTTGTGAAACTCAATGCCAATAAAGTATGTTATGTGGCCAAGGCCGGTCATCTCAAACTCCTTCATAAGTTCACTCTTGAACTTAGAAATGCACTTTTATCACTGCCCGTAATTAACAAATCGTTTATGCATAGACAAAGGATTATCACCCTTTAACTTGTATCCTTCTTCACATACTCACCATATTTGGATACACACTTCTTGAAATCAATCTTCTTTAAGAAACCATATATCATTTTGTTCCAAGCTCTCGAAGTTTGTTTCAAACTATACAACGCTTTCTTCAACTTATAAAACTTTGACTCTTGATTTTTCACAACAAAACCGAGGGGATATTCTATATAAACTTCCTCTTCAAGTGGTTCATTCAAAAACACAGATTTGACGTCCATTTGATAGATGAACTAATTATTGTTATTCGCAATACCAACAACTAGTCTAATGATTTCAATTCTAGCCACTGGTGCAAATACCTCTTCAAAACACATTCCTTCTCTTTAAAATAATCCCTTTGAAACTAATCCAACCTTATGTTTGATTATTTGAACCTTGGAATTTTCCTTCACTTTGTAAACTCATCTTACACCAATTGACTTCTTTCATTCTAATAGATCAACCAACTCCCAAGTCTTGTTCTTCTCAATGGTTTCCAGCTCCTCCTTCATATCAGAAATCAATTTTGATTCACTCAAGGCCTCTTCCATTTTAATGGGTTTAGATTCGACCATAAGTGCAAAATCGGGGAAATCACCATAATCATTGACTTCATTGTCTCAGAACAACTTGCAACCTTGGAGTCATGGAGGCAAACCTTTTTTCCATATTGATCTTCTCACATTCTCTTCAATTCGGGCTTTGACGGAGTTGTTTCTGCAGTTTCCAACTTTGTAGAAATTGATTTTTCACTGCTGTAATCGATTAAAACTTTTTAGTAATCGGTTATAGGTTGGTGCGGCTCCTTAAGTTCATAAAAATGATGTCTCGACTGATCACGATTCTTCTATTTGCTGTATCATACAACTTGTAATCTCTGGTGGAGTGATAATCTACAAGTATAATTAATAATCTATTATCATCAAGCTTCTTTCTAAGTTGCCCTGCACATGCATATACGCTACAAAACCAAAAAATCTCAAATGATTCAGATTAGATTTCAACAAATGTGCAGTAGTGGACACCATTTTTCCTCATTACTCTTTCAGCAAGTTCTTCTCCACTAACATGCTTCTCACCATGTTCATAGTCGATCGATTCTTCCTTTTGGCAACACCATTTTTATACGGTGTATAAGGTGGTACTACCTCATGTAGTATCCATTCTTGATTATAAAACTTAGCAAAGTAATTTGAGACGTATTCACCTTCACCATATATTTTGAGAACTTTAAGCTCGTGACTGCTTTGACTTTTAACTATGGACTTGAACTTCTTAAACACTTAAAATATCTCTTATTTTCTCTTGATTAGGCATGTCCATAGCTTTCTTCTATGATCATCGATGAATGTAAGAAAATATATATTTCCCCCAGTCGAACCAACTTGCATCGGTCCCCACACATCTGAATACACCACCTCAAGGTGATACTTGGTACTATAACCCGGACCATTGCTAAATTTACTCTTATGTTGCTTCGCTTGCGCACATTCTTCACAAATTTCAGCCGCTATGTTGATCAATGGCAACCTCGTTATCATTTTGTTCTTTTGCAATGCATTGAGATCTTTAAAGTTGAGACGCCCAAGACTATAATTCCATAACCCATGTAGCAAGACACCTATGCTCCATAACCTTCAACTTAACCTCGAAAGTTCTATTGGTAGCCATATGAGCTTTTATAATCAAAACCCTGTTTGCATCCATAACGCGTAGCACCTTGTTCTCCATATGAATCTTGTAACCCTTCTCAAGTAATTGGTCAATACTTAGAAGTTTACACTTGATTTCAGGAATATACAATACATCCTTTATCAAAAAGTGTGTACCATCCCTTATCTCAACTGATACATCACTGATCCCTTCCGCCACTAGAGTGAAGTCATCCGCGAACTCCACTTTGTTCTTCATGGCGCGATTTATTGTAACAAACCAATCCTTACTCCCTGTCATATGATTAGAACATCGGAGTTCAAATACCATTGATCGATGTACTTCACGTCTTCCTTTACAGTCACCATTGCATCTTCTTTTTCATGTGACCGATTACAACATTTACGTAATCGGTTACATCATGGTTCTGTAGTGTTTCCAAAATTGTTGTTGTTGATGTTTCGTAGCCTGTTGTTGATGCACTCCCCTTTTGTGATCATGACCAAGAGTGTGTTCTCATTATCAAACTCTTGTCATGAAACCTTAGCTTTACCCACTTGAGGTTCCTTGTTGTTTTCATTGGGCTCTCTTGCAAAATGACGAACTTTTGACAAACAAACCATTGCAACTTGCTCTTGTTAATTCTTCTCCTTTCACCTCTAAAGTTGCCTTGACCATCATTCTTGTTGCAGTTGCCTTTACTATTTTGACAAGTTGAATTCTTGGAACTTTAGAACTCTCTTTCATCAAAATTCTGAAAAATTCTCTTTACTTTTCATGGACCATTTTCCCTTCGGTTTCTTGTCTTTCTCATTGAAACGAGCTTGCAAAGCGATCTCCGCCTTTGTCTTATCACTATTTATCTCCCCCATCCTTTGCCCATATGCCTTAAGAGAGATTTGTAACTTCTCTTTGCTCATTGTCACAAGATCCTTCGATTCCTCAATCACTATGAATATGTTATTGAATCTTGTCATCAAAGAACGTAAGATTTTCGCGACAACATATGCTCTGTAACAATTTCTCCACATGTTTTTACTTGGTTCACCAACCGAGTAATTCTCGTCGTGAAATCATTAATGATTTCCTTCTCCTTCATTTGAATCAACTCAAGTTGTCGTTTGTGAGTTTGTAACTTCGCAATCTTCACCTTGTCAACCCATGTGCATGCCTTCTCCAAGATTGCCCACACTTGCTTCTATGATTTGCAATCACCAACTTTCTAAAAAATTATCTGTATCAATGCATTGATGGATTAAAAATAGCATCTTGAAATATTTTTTCTTTTCTTCCTTATGTGTTACTCTTTGTGCATCAGTTGCACCTTCGACAAGAGGACACGCATTTTTCTTGATTACTTCAAGAAAATCTTAGTAGCCAAACAACACCTTCATTTGCTTGTATCATTTGTCGTAATTTTTGCATCAAAGATTGATAAGTTTGCGGGAATTATTTCAATAGAGACAAAATTCATGTTGCACACTAGGTGTTTGGTAGATCAAACAAGACTATTGAGGTCAAATGTTAGAACTTCAAATCACAAGACTTGTGAAAATGGAATAAATGAATGTGGAGAGAGAAAGTGAGAGAGAATTAAAGAGAGTGGGAAAGAATTATAGATATACAAAATACAATTGGTTGAGACACAAACAACAAATTCAAAATAATAAAAAAAATCTGAAACTATTTGCCTTAACCGGTTACAACTATTTCAATAATTAAATCCAACACAGTAACTGATTACACCTGTTTTAACCGGAAAAAATACTATACCCTATAATCGATACAAGAACGCAATAACCAATTACAATATTTGAATTATTGATTTTTCGTAACATATAGCACAAATAAATCAGATAAAAAAAGTATTAGATCATTTTGATTAAAAATGTGCCAGCTTCTTGTAAATTCACAGTATCAAATAAACCTTATAATACATAGGACTTTGTAGCAAAAAACGTGAGATAATTCTGATTGAAAATGTGTCAACTTCTTTAAATTCAAAATAAGTATCAAACAAACTTTGTAGCACATAGAATTATAATAAACAACATGTGAAATAATTCTGATTGATACGGACACTTATTACATTCAACTGATTCATTTACATATTTTTTTACCTTGAATTAATTAATTTACAAAGCAAACCAAAGCATAAAAGAACTTCTTGTAAGAGATTCTTTTCCCAAAACTCACAACAACAAGTATTCTTGGCCTCTCAACTTTAGTCTCTCCACTCTCACTTTCCAATGGTTTCTAACAAAAGGGTTACTACATTCTTATTCATAATGTTGGCTGGTCTAGCTAGCTCAGATTTATCAAAAGACAGAGAAGAATGTGCTGACAAACTTGTTACTCTTGCTAGTTGTCTTCCATACGTTGGTGGTGATGCCAATACTCCCACTATAGATTGTTGCACCTCCCTCAAAATAGTCCTTGACAAAACCAAAAAATGCATCTGCATCCTCATCAAAGATCGTAATGACCCCAAACTCGGCTTCACTTTGAATGCCACTCTCGCTGTTCAGCTTCCAAGTGCTTGTCACATACCATCTAATATATCTCAATGTGTAGGCAAGTATACATATATTTTTTCTATCCCTCATTTTACATTCTTTATTATATATATATATATCAAATTAACACTCAGAAGTTTCATATATTAACCGTTTTTTTGGATTTGGTTTTTTCTTAGATCTTTTGCATTTGTCACCAAAATCTCCTGAAGCTCAGGTGTTTGAAGGACTTGGAAATTCTACCAAAACAAACAGTTCCCCACCAGGTTTTGTTGACAAGGGATCAAGTTCTGAGGAAAAGAGTGGTGGTGGTTTGGGAAAGAGGTGGGTGATGGCAGAGATGGTTTCTACTATTTTACCATTTGTTTTCATATCTCACTTGTTCATCCTAGCTTGAACCATGATCAAGTTTTAGGAAAGACTCGTTACTTTGATTTTGGATATATTAATATTGGTTTTGTTTGATGTATGAATCTAATACTCATTACTCATTAGACTATGTATAATGGATATTGAAAAAATTATTTAATAGCTGAATAAGTGTAACGAGTGGTTCAATAAAAGATTGAAAGTGAGATGAATTAATATGTGTTGAAAATAATATATTGAACGATGAGGGACTGAGACCACGTCTAATATTTTACAAAATCTTATTAATTGTTATGATTGTTTAGATTTTTAATTCACCTTAATTATTTGGAATCAATTATTTTATAATAAATTAATTTTTTATTTATTTTTATTTTCATCAAAATTTATTATTTTTTATTTATTTATAAATAACAATTTTGTTTATTTAATTTGGACAAACAAAAAAGTTTGATTTCTCTTTATTTTTTCTATTTAACCTTCAATAAATTCTTGTTTTATCTATTTTTATTTGTTTCAATAGTGATTATTATTATAATTAAAAAAATTCTAATAAATTAAAAATATAAAATCAGTAAAAAAATTAAATAATTTAACTCTTAACTATTTTAATTTTATTTCAATCGATAATTGATATTAATATTAAATTATAAAAACAAAAATATAAAAAAAAAAGAATATAATATTAAATTTAATTAAACAAACTCATTGTACTGAATAAAAATTGAATCAATGTTAAATTATTAATTACAACAAAGAGAAGATAATATATATTTCTTTCTAATAGTTTTGTCACGTGTGTTTGTGTATTTCTAAACTCCTATATCTTTTTAGCAAAATTCATGTTAGCGTCTTTTGTCACATCAATTAAACCCAAAAGTATGTTAAGGAACAAGCTTGCCCTACCAAATATGAAAAAGAATAAACCACTACAAATATGACATTTGACACTATCCAATTGAACCAAACACTAACCAAGAAAGTACAAACATCACACATTTAACTCACCAACAAAACCTTAAAAGCAGACACATCACAAATAATGTTACTGTTCACTTATCCTCTCTTTAAAATATTTATACTTGGATGGTACTTTGTTGCACCGACTATGCACAAGAGTGTTGGGTGTTTGATAGTGTCACGCATGTGATTATGTTTAGGGTAGGGCCAATTCATCTGAAGATCCTATTCAAATTTAAAAAATAATTTGATATAAATACCTCTAAATATGAATACAAGTGTTGCAGTTTGAATCAATTTTAAAATAAAAACGTATTTAATCCATAGATAAAATTATCTGTGATTTGATTTAGTTTTAGATAATTAATTATACATCAAATCTAATTAAATTTTATGTAATTTTATTGAAATTATTTTTTATTTTTTATTTTTTTAAATAATTTCATGTAAAATTGAATAGATAGACCGTGTAATTGTCAAATATACTATGTAGAGTTAATCTCACATTCAATATTTATTCAATAGTAAGAGAAAATATAAGTTATAAATAAAGAATTCTAAATGTCTAGCTCCTTACACATTAAAATAATTTAACTTGTCATAATTAATTAGTTAACTGCATAGTTTTCTTTAAGCCCTTTAAATATTGAGGTTGTTTGCAAATGCATATGATTTTTTTTCTCAAAGCGGAAGAATAAAAAAAAACAGAATTTGAATTTCACCATAATCTTACATCTGAATAAGATGTTATAATCTCAGTGAACTTCTAAGAAAGAATAGGAAGGACAAAACATAGTATACAACATATGACAAGTCCTTTAATTATCACAAAGCCAAAAAATACCTTACAAAATCAACATTTGTGAGAGGTTATGTCCCCTAGCTAAATTACTGGTCGCTGACAAGTCGTGAGGAGCTAAGCACCTAGTCAATTGGCTTAGGACTAAACAGCTCGCTAAAGGCAAGAGTTGATTGTATATTAGCTAGGGGCTTTATCCTTAACTAAATGTCATGCTATTTTTGACGCAGATGCTCAGAAAGTGCAGGGTGGCGCATGAGTGTGCAAGCAACATTAACTAGGGAGTTTGCCCCAAACTAAAAATCAAAATTTATTTTTTAAATTATAAACGTAAAAATTTAGTTTTCTTATTATTATTATATTTATAATTAATGAATTTCATAATTAATAATCTTAATAATAATATAAAGTTTAATATTATAATTTAATAAAATAAAAAATTCAATATTAATAATATTAGTAATATGTTTTCAAATTTAATAAATAATATAATTTATAATTAATATTATATTAATAAAATACTGAATTAAAATTTAAATATTACAAGAACATTGTTTAAAATTATAAATAAAAAGTGTTATTGATAAAGATTAATTTTCTTCATTGATATTATTGTGTTCATAGTCATTTTGCCCTTGATTATCACGCCCTCCAAATTATTGTATAAACCGTTGAAAAATATGCATAGATTCCTCATATTCTCTAGTTTTTCTTCTCATTTCCTCCTCCATTTCTCTATCTCTTCTTCAATTCTTCTATTTCAGCATTTCTCGCTTGCACTTCACGGGCAGCCTCAGAGTGTGCTAATGATCTCATAGTTTCCATCATGTCTAGGGTAAGTGAAGGTTGAGTCGATGATCCTTCACCATCAACAGTTTGCATTCTGAAACTCTTATCACGCTGCCGAATTGTTTTGGCGAGACCTCCAACACCATACACTCTCCTATTTTTTCTCTTCTCACGAGATACATCATACCAAGTCTGAAAACTCAGACTAGGATCGGTGGGAAATCCCGACGGAGGTGGAATATATTTAAAGTGCTCTGATAATCTTAGAGCAAGCTGTTTTTCATACTCCTCTTATTAAAATGAGTAGATGTTATTGCAATTTAAATTATGCTAGACACAAAAGAAATAAATAAAATGACTAAGTTTAAGGAAAACTTACTTGAGTTTTTCTTGAGCGCTCATCAACAAACTCCCCATTTTTCTTGAGATGAGTCTCCTTATAGAGCTCATTAAGAAGCAGAGTTTTGTCCAACTCATCACGCTAAGTAGATGACATAAAAAAATAGTTATAACGTAATCTAAAATTGTTGAGTTAATTACAAAATAATTAAATTTATCATTCTCCGTGCAACATCAGCAATACTAATACTACCATAGGTGTAGTTGCAGCCGCCAACTTCAGAGGCTCTATTTTTCTTGGCCTTTTCAGACGTACTCTTAAAGAAATCGGAATTCCAATGGGAAATAAGCTGCTCAAATACATCTGGACTTATCCAACGAGAACGCAAGCGTTTATTTTCCCAAGTAATTCTAACACGCCTTATCGTGTCAGAAAATCGTTGAGCACATTTAATGTTAAAATTATCCATTATTTAGATATCATCTCTAGGGTCCCAACAACGTTTCTCCTTCAAAAAATATGAAATAAAGTTATAGTCGTGATTGAGTGAATTACTTTAATAAAGGTAAAAAAATAAAATTAAACAAAATTGATTATACCTGAAATAACCTAAACCAAACCTCCCTCTCATTACCATCAACTACACCATACGTAGGCCAAAATTAGTTATACTTTTCTTGAATGATCTCAGTGATGCAAGTTGCTGCCTGATGTGATGGGTAAAATCTAAGCAACCAAAATCTGAGTTAGTATTTATTATAAACGAACAACTAACATTTATAATTTAAACATAAACACTTATGATGATACCTCTGGCTGAATGATAAATCGTACATTCCTCTTCCTAATCACTTGTGGCACATTTCTCAAAATACGTGCATTTCTATGCTCCTGATCAGCCTTGTCCTAAACAACCTGCTCTGCATGGCCATCATCATCACCCTGTTCCTCATGCGAAGAATGCATGGGTGATGAATGTGACGTGCTAGATCCACCACCTGAATCCCTATACTGCATAAATGATGGATCCATAGTAGGTACTGAGGTGCTAGGTACAGCCTGAGGCATATAAGATATATGTCCAGGAGGAGTAAGAAAAGCTGAGGGGAAAATGTCAGGAAATGTAGAATAAGGTATAGATAGTAAGTCTGTAAATGGAGAAGGAGAATGATGCATAGATGATGCAGTGGGACGTATAGATGGTGGAGTGAGATGCATATGTGGTAGAGTAGGATGCATTAATGGTGGAGTGGGATTCATAAGAGGACGATGTGGCTGTTGACTCGATTGTAGCATAGGAATGAGGTTAGCTGTATCAGGAACCTCTTCTATAATATACCTCGATCAATTGCGGCGAGGCTTATCTGCTCGAACCATCTATATTTGTGTCTGGTCCAAAATGTGTTTGATTGCTATAAGCTTCCCTATTCATCTCTGGTAATTTTTCTTCATTAGATGTTCAAACCCAATAATTTGGCCTAAAACCCACTCTCTCCAAGTGCTGTTTCACTTCACTACGGTCACTGATTAAATTTCTACAACCACACTTTAAGCATGAACATCTTACCCCTCCATCTCTACGACACCATTCGTGAGTAAACACATATGTAAGAAACATATAAAGTCCTTCCTTAAATTATGGTTTAAGCTCACGTCTTCCCGGAAACATTCTATCATACATCCAACTACGATAGAATTGATAATATTTCATACTACACATGTATAACATTATTTATGTTTAAATTTATTAGACAAAAAGGAGACTAATAATATATCAATAAATTTTTAAACTAAATAAGTATACTAAATAACTATAGTTATGCACTATTTTTATTAATAATACAGTATACTAAATAAGTAAGTATAGTGTTTTTTTATATAAATTAAATATATTTTATTTTATTTAAACTAAATATTTTTTTATATAAACTAAATATACCATTTTCCAAAATAACTAAGTATACTATTTATAAATTAAATATACTTTTTTTTATAAATTAAATATATTTTATTTTATTTAAATTAAATATTATACTAAATATTTAAATACATATAAACTAAATATACTATTTTTTATATAAACTAAATATACTAATATTATTTAGATTAACTAAATATTTGGTTTATAAATTAAATATAC